ATAGCGTTTAATTTAAATAAAAAAAAAACAACAACACTTAAATAATTTATTTGAACTTTTAGGATTGAAGAATTCAGCATTTGATAATATTTGCATGATTGTTGGCTATTTTTTCAGAGCGAAAAAAAAAGGTAAACACATTAAATATTAAAAGATATATCGAAACTGAAAATTAATAAAGCATTGATTTGAAAAACAGGCAATATTTATATCTGCAGATGAACTATGACATTTCATTTACTTCTTCAACACAAATCACTAATTTAACATTCATAGCTTTTTAAATTTAAATTACAAAGTTGCTATTTAATTTCTTCTATTATTTAGCAGCAAATTATTATGCAAATCATATGCATTATTCATCAGTAATATTGAATAGTTTGGATCATTGAAGTATTCATTTTTTTCACACCTTGAAAAATTTTTAAGGCAAAAAATTTAACCTAAAATTTATAATAGTAGTAATCATTAATAGTAATTAATGATGATAAAAATAATAATAATAATAATAATAAAATTAGTGATCCGATTAATACTGATAAAAAAATTGTAATGATAATCATGATAGAGGCAACAATGTTAGTGATAACAATAATATTTAGTTGGAGTACAATATTTAAAAAAATTGTGCGCTGTTATTTAGATATTTCTCATTTTCACTTATTATATAAAAAATTATTATTGCTGATTAGTTTTTTTTTTGATAATAGAGACAACTGTCAATATTTGCAAATGATGAAAATGTATTTAATTTTTTCGTCATAAATTTTTTGCAACATAAAATATATAATTTCCGAGGGATATGAAAGTTCTGCAACTGTAAAGTAAGCAAGTTGAAATAATTTTGAAAAAGAGAAAAAGTTTTATTTCTGTTATTTAAAATGAAAAGTATGCCAATAACTAATACTAATATTAGTATAAGAATATAGAGTATAAGAATATGAAGTATAAGAATATGAGTATAAGAATATGAAGTTTAGTTTTGATAGTTGTAAATTCATATTCTTATACTCTCATATTCTTATACTCTCATATTCTTATACTTCATATTCTTATACTCTATATTTTTAATTTCGTATTCATTATAACTTTGATATCCATCATAACTCAAATTATTTGATTGTTTATATGGTATTTTAAAGTTTTGTATTTTCAATTACACTGTTTTGAAGAAAACTGAATAAATGATTTGAAAAGAAAATAGTGCAGTACTACTTATAATTGAAAACCAAAAGCACATAATTTCAATCTAATTAAATTTTATTTAAATTTGTTTAACGAAAGCGTCAAAATTTGAATTTGTTAGAGTAAAATATTATTTGAATTAAACTTAAATTTATCTTTTAAGTCAAACAATCAAAAATTATTAAGATAATTTTTTTGCACATAGTATGCTTCCTTTTACTTTTATTGGTTTTATATATCGTTAAAAGATATGATTAATTTGCGCTGTTACAAATGATAAAAAAGTGAAGCAAAAAACAGTGCTGAATTAAGACTTTTAGTTGCAAGTTCATTATTTCAAGACAGAATTTTGACTAGCAATAAATAATGACTTGCAATCAACAAAAAGCTAAATTTCAAAGTTATGACTTGTAAGTGATTAGTTATGATGAATAAAAAACAGCTGAATGCGATATAAGTAAAAAGTTTTGATGTTATAATTTATGAATGATCAAAAGTACAATATTAATAAATAAGCATGCAAATATAATATGTAACAATACAAGATTATAGAATTTGAAGAGATAAAATTGTAACTGATTTTTAGTTTTTAAAGTTGAAAGTTAGTGATTACTTTAATTATAATTAATTATTTTAAGTATAATTACTTCATTGACTAGTTAAAAAAAAGATCGGAAAGCTAAAAAAATGAAAGAAATAAAAGATAAAGCAAGCATAATGATAAATACTTTGGCTGTAGTAATAGCAGTTATTAACAAATGGATATGAAAGCAAAGTTTGGTAAAGCAAAATAAATGCTTGACAGTGTATTATTATTCATAGAAAATGGTTGCCTTCGATTTATTTTTTGCAAAGCATTTATCCATTTATTTACTCGACTGAACAATTATTAATTGTCAATTTAGATTCTCTTCATATGAACATATGTAATGTGTAAGCTTTAATCTTTCACTTAATTTTTGCATCCTGTTGTTAAGAGTGCTGTCAAATCTATAATTATCATTATTAATTAATCTTAGTAAAAGAAAAAAAACAATTAATTTATTCAACAATAATTACTATTTCTCATATGAATTCAAGAATTTAACATAGTGCATTTTTCGAATGCAATCTGCAATCAAAATATTTTTTCACATGTGCATTTATAAAGTCATTTTAGTTTCCAATATTACAAGTAGCTTTTTTTTTTTTTGAAAAAATAAATAAAAGAAAGAAAATATATTTGTGATAAAAAATTGCGAATACTTACTTACTTACTTTTAGTATAAGACTAAAACTGAAAGGCTGTATTTTTATTAAAATAAATAAAACTGTGAATAATTATGGATTAACAAAAATTATTACGATTTTATTATAAAGCATAATTGTTTGCTGCCATTACTAGCTTCTAAAATGCATTGTTCATTAGCATACAATCAGATTACTCTTACTTCTTGGCTACTACAATCAGAACTAGTCTAAAATTGCAGTCAAAACCGATTAAAATTACTCAAAAGCATGTTTAAAGTTCAAACTTTACAATCTATTTTAAATTACTTCAAGCAATAAGCAATCACACTGCTATCTACTTTTCCATTTCTATAATATGCCATGTAATTATGGCAATACTTATAATTTTGGTTAAAAATTAATAGGCAATATTTTGTAACTAAATTATTTTCATATGAAAATGCAAAAAAGATTTGGTATAAAACAAAAGAAAAATTAATTTATTAACCAAATAATATTATCAAAGGAAAAACAATGACAATAAATAATGAATTGAGTTTAAATCATTATTCATTTAACAATCTTTATTTTTAATCACACTTTTTGTTATAAATATTTAACTTTTAAACAAATATGCAGTAATTTATTTACACACAATTTTTGTGATAAAATATTTAAATCTGTCAAAAATAATAATATATTCCACTTCTGTAAGAAATTTTTTAGTTTCAAATTTTAGTAAAGCATAAAAAATTTAAACTTTTCTGATTAACTAAAAACAAGTAATATGTAAGCAAAATTAACTTAAAAACTGAAATACTAATACAATAATGAATGGACATAAACTAAAAATGTGCTAAATCTAAAAATTTGTTTCTAAAATATGCACAATATATGACTTCATATTATACAATAAAGGCATAATTAACACTGAATTCAAACAAATAGTGCATAAAATAGAATATTATTAGTGTAAGACTAAGCACTAGTTATAAAATTAAACTATCATATGCAATATTACACAAGCATTGTAAAAATTTTTTGAAATTAATGATCATAATCTTTCAACAAATTTGCATAGAAATCAAAATTCTGATCAAAGTGATGTTCGATTTGCAAGTAACGGTAATGATTCAAGTATATCTACTGATATCCTCAGAAATGCTCATTTTTTTATTTTCATCTCAATAATCCTCTCGATGAATGCCAAAAAAAAAGTTAATAATAATTTATATACTTCTTGCTGTGTTTTGCACATACTTCGATATGAAAGCTATGCTTAAGTGATAATTCCTCATCAAAGTTAGCAATTAAATCTTGAAGAATTTAACCGTTCTAAAATCAAAAAAAAAAAAAGAAAGAAAAAAAGTGAAGATGAGATAAGCAGAAAATTGCCATTAAGTGAATTATTTTTGTTTGATTTTCTGTAAGCTTCAAAAATCTTTTCAATACAATCATTGAGTATTATAATAAAAATACTCAATGAATAAAAATTGATTCAATTAAATGATATTTAAATATTGCAAGCTAAAACAAATATATATAATAATCATTAATTTTATCATGATAGTTTAATTTATGCTTGCAATGCACACAAATAAGACTGAAAAATGATAAAAAATATTATTAAATGTATAAATATTTGATGAAATATGCATGAAATTAGGCATTTTTGTAATCAAAATATAAAACTTTCTGAAAATAAATTTTAGTAAATACTTTTTGAGATAAAATTTTCTCTAAATTACACAAGATAGAATGATTGAAATAAATTTTGTATAAAGTTTTATATTAAATTAAAATATACTTCAATTATTTTTAATCATTAAAGTTAGAGTCAAGACAAAAAGTTTTGCTGATTATATACGAATTCACTGTTTGCGTAGTTTGTAACTAGCACGTAAGAATTTAATTTTCATTGCATCACTTTAGATTTAAAGTATTGCATCACCTCCTAATAAAATGTTCAGTCTTTTTATATGACAATGATAGTCTTGTTATACGACAATGATAGGTTTGTATCATAATGAAAGTTTGGAGGAAAGTGCTTTTGGAAGGTTTATGATGGATAGGTTAGTGATGCAAGTTGTAGTACATAACATTTTAGGTCTATTAGTCATATCAGTAAGTTTTATGTTATTTTCTAGAAAGTATTGTTGACAATAATTGCTCTACGAAAAAATTTCATTTATGTTTTTTTGAGGACATAATTTTTGAGGTCCTTTTTTGTTCAATCAATAGAAATAGAATACTTGACCTGTTTGAACTCATATGGTTTCTGTCTATGGAGCTTCATTATATCTCGTATTTTCCATAATAATTATTGTTGAGACCGGGACTAAAATACTATGAAATTCAGTTCTATTGTAATCTCTGTGTGCATTTTCGATGCTGTAGTACATCATGATATTCAAATTTATATTACATCTTGAGATTTTTGAGCAGTATAAAAAGGATGACTTGGGAAGATCAAGTTGGTACAGGCTGTTGAATTGCATATATGCTTCATTGTTTGTGATGGTATTATTTGATATTGTAAGCATTAATTGTGTTACTCATTGTTTGTTGAAAATTTCAGGTTAGAATAAGTAAGAAAGTTTAAGATAATGGGAAAACCGAAAGGTATTCGTACAGCTCGGAAATTAAAAACTCATCGGCAAGCCCAACGTTGGAATGATAAAGGTTATAAGAAAGCACATTTAGGAACTCGCTGGAAAGCAAATCCGTTCGGTGCTGCATCGCATGCGAAGGGTATTGTTCTTGAAAAAGTGTAAGTTTAAAGAAGTAACCTTTGTTTGATCCTTTATCTTTTTTTAAACTCATTGTTCTTGTGCGAATTTGTTGTACAGAAGTTGATATATTTATCAGGAAATGCATTATTTGATCGATTAATTGTGTAAGGTTTAGTATGGTTTTTTATTCATGCATCTTATGGCGTCTTTTAAGCCAGAAATTCCCTCAGAAAGTAATTATTTTATTTTATTCCTAATTGTACCTTGTGACAATGATGAACTGATATTTAATTTTTATTATCATAAACATTTGCCAGTACATGTTTCTGTGGAACAAAAGTTTGATTTTCTTTCCATGAAAGATAAATTAATAGTTTTATAATTTAGCATTTCGTCTAAAGGAATATTCCTTGTTTGTAGTTTCCATCATGTAATAAACAACTTTAAGATTTAAAGAAAACATTTTAATTAAATGATTACAATGTATCGAATTTTAAGTGGTGTTGAAGCCAAACAGCCAAATTCCGCTATTCGTAAATGTGTCCGTGTTCAGCTCATTAAAAATGGCAAAAAAATTACAGCATTTGTCCCTAATGATGGCTGCTTGAACTTTATTGAGGTGAACTTTTCGTGAATATTTTTGCACTTTTTAGAAAATGAGCGATTTCATTAGTCTTTGAGAGTTTCATTTTCTTTACAGTTATTAGTAAGAAATTTTGTCTTGTATTGATTGAAATCTCATTTTTGTACTACATTTGGAAATAACTTTAAATATTTTTCGAAAATAGTCCGAACTATGTTAATCGTTGTGTTCTGTATTTATGCTTCAGGAAAATGATGAAGTCCTTGTTGCTGGTTTTGGTCGAAAAGGACATGCTGTTGGCGATATACCCGGTGTACGTTTCAAGATTGTTAAAGTTGCAAATACCTCATTGATTGCCTTGTTTAAAGGAAAAAAAGAAAGACCTCGATCGTAAATGAAAATCATTTAGTCATTTTGTTGCTACTGATTCAATTACGTTTGATGTAATAAATATGTACTGCAATAATCTGTTCTTATTCACATCTTTAAAATAGCACTCAGTGTGAAGACTTTGTTCTTTACTGCCGGTGAATTTGCTTTAGCACAAAGACTTGTTATCACATTTGTAATTTCAAAAATTTTATGGCTGACTTAGCAGTCAGCAATATGAAATTGTGCATGTAGACAGTATATTAAAAAGGCTTATATTGCTTCACTTTAAGCAAAGTTACTGTCAAGCCTTTGTTTAGCAAGTTTTCATGGAACTCGTAGTATCCCATTATTAGTCTTAATTTTCTTCATTTGCTTGCATCAAGAAGACTATAAAATATAGAAAGGGAGATTAGTGTCAAGATTTTAGGTAGCTCATTTTTCACCTATATTTGTTGATTTGATAAACAGTTGTTGGCATTCTTGATAACTACTTCTTACTTATACTTCGTTTTGATGCATTCAGGAAGCAGACATTTATGGTATAATTGCTTTGTTTTATTTTTAGTACTCAAGAAATGGTCCTATGAATATGAGGCATTGCATTAGAAAGCATATAATATCTACTAAATGTATGGAATATTAAATGGAAGCAAGAAATCTAGCATGTATGTAATCAACAAGAAATCAGGACACAAATTTTGTTTGCTTGTAGTAGTTGTTGTTGTGACGTTATAACTGCAATTCTTATTACAAATAACAAAGGTATTGTGCAGAGATGAACAAAATTTGATTGATTAAAAAATGCATAAAAAATAAGTCTAAAAAAGTTAGCTTGATCTTGTCGAGAAATTAGCAATGCAAGTAGAAAGAAAGCAAAAAAAGAGGAAAAGATAGTAGCAAAATATAAGCAATTTGAATTTGCATTTGCTATTTTTTGAAGAAGAGTTAATCAAATAACATATAACTTCTCTGTCTAATTCAAATTAGGAATGCTAGTTTTCTTTTTTGAGTTTTGATTATTTCGCTTTAAATGAAGTGTGACTACTACTAAAAGTATTCAGCTTAAAGGTTGCTCAACAATTTTTTTCTTATATAATTTCAAGTCAATTTGCTATGATTTATTTTTCTAGCATAAAATATGAAAAAGTTAATGATGATGGTTTGCAGTTTGAATAATAAATCATCTATTGCATACTTTTCTTTAAATAATCATTAATTACTTTTATGTTGTGCTTCTAGTCTACTTATCATTTGAATATTTGTGTTATTGTTTTTTAATTACATAATTTCTCTCATATTTAATAGAATAAAATACAGTAAATGGATAAAAATTCTGATAAAAAGTCTATTATGGTTTGTAGAAGTTAAGTTTTGATGCAAAAAGTTTTATGATGATAACATTTTTGGATATATTCAGTGTGCATCATTTATTTACTAAGGAAAAATTTTTGTATATTATTTCTTTTTCATTTTTAACTGATTATTTACATATTATTGTATTTATTCATTCATTCATTTAAAATATTGCTTTTTAAAAGTTTTTTGAGATAAACAATTTTTGAATCATTTTAAAATATTTGAATAAGGTAACTATTATATTCACGTAAACTTTCACTGTTACAATACTAGCATACAAATTTAGGCAAATATATGCTTCGTAAATTTGAAAACATTACAAATTGATAACAAGTTCTCATATGAATCTAACTTCTTAATTATGATTTACTTCTAAAATGCAACAAAAGCTAGTATTCCCTCGTTGATTTAAGTAAGTTCAGAGCACTATTTGCATAGTTTCTTTCAAAATCGTACATTCTGTTTAATTTGCTATCCAAAATTTCAATTTCAAACTTAATGTTTTTTTAGCAGCTCTTATTAATAGCATTGAAAGTATACTAATTTAATGCATAATTTCAGATTTATTTTAAAGTAATGTTTTCAGATTTTTGCATATTAATATGAAGAAAAATTTGGCACAATCATTTTACTTCCACCGATTTATTCGTTAGAATTATTTTTTCTTAATTTTGATTTTAATCATTATCATATCAGTCGAGAGACCATAACTTCCGCCATTTTTTACAACTTCTCAAAACATATATATATATGTATAATGTGTATCTGATCAATCAATCTGTTAAATTTATTTTTTTCACCTTTAGTTTTCTTATATCTCTACTGATTGTCATCAGAATTTACTTCGCCTTCATAGTGTAATAACTTGAAAATAATTGTCATCTCGGGAGAACTTTGTCTGAATTTTAAGGCAAATATTAATGTACTTATCGATAAAAATTTTTTGTCAAAATTCTGTTTTTTTCCTCCAATCAGAAAAATAAAGAAAAACTTCATACATTGTCTGAAACAGATGACAGAAATTTTGAACGATGACTTCTAATAATGAAATGCGTAAAATTGACTTATTGCATTCGTTGGCTATTTCAGATTTTATTTCAAAAAATGAGTGAATTTGCTGTTTACTAAATTATTCACCAGTAAGGATCATCGTACAAGCTAAGATATTGTCATTTGTCTTTAAAATATTTTTATTTATGTAAGAAAGCTGCAAAATAATGTATTCATCACTGATATTATCGATAGCAGCACAAGTTTTGGTAACAGTTTTGGTAAGTGGAACAAATCAGGTATGCATTATAATTTTGATTTTTAAGCTTATTTGTTTAAGCTTATCTAGCATCAGATAACTCTATTTACATAATCTTAACAATATCACATCATAAGGACTTAAAATTGTTGTAATTAATCCATGTGGATACTCTGTCATACATACTAATTGCTTATCATAACATTTTATATAAATTGTGGTGGAGAAAAGAAATATATGAATGAAACGATGATTATAAAAATTGTATTTATCATTACTTGATATTGAATAGAAATACAAAAAAATTTTTATAAAGTTTTTTTTGCAAGCAATCAGAGAAAAAAGTGAGAATTTATATTTTAACTAAAACAAAGGACAAATAATTTAAGCGTTAAACTGCAATAATTAAATTCACAAAATCAAGCACATTTTGAACTTTGATTTTCAGTCGTGAATTTTGATTTTTAAGCTTATTTGTTTAAGCTTATCTAGCATCAGATA